GTCCAGAGTGTGTTATATCTTCATCAAACTGTGAAACCCCTCCCTTTACTAATAATCTGTCACAACTTTACAGAACACACACTGAGACCAAAGCGAGCCCCTGCCCCGGCGCCTGGCCCTTCCCTCCCTTGTCAAGAAGGGCTTTATCCGGGCGCGCGGGCGGAGCGGGGGGGTCTCCCGCGGCAACGATCTCCCGGCTCGCTGGGGCCGCTGGCAGAGGAGCCTGCTCCGCCGGGCCCGATCCCGATCCCGCGCGCCCGGAGCAGGCTCTGGGCGGCGAGTGACCCTCTCGGCTGGGCTCTGATCTGGACTCTGGTGGCTTTTTTGCTGCTCCGCAAAGCAGGACGGGGCCCGGTTTTCTCCGCATTGCGGCGTAAGGCTGAATCCCGCGGCCAGTGGCCTCGGACGTGCGCGCAGAGCCGCCGCAGGGCCCGGGCGAGGGGGGCATCCATCATGCCCAGCAACATCCGCCCTGTCCTCCCGCAAAAGGGGCTCGCCCTAGCGTTAACGCCCTTTGAAACAGCCTTTCCACCCAGCTCTGCCCTGAGATCTCAACCTACACATTCCCACTGCACCGCCTGCGAGCGAGTAAGGCACGCCGGCAGGTGCAGCGGGGGCTTCTCTTCTTCCCCTTCCTTTCTTTTTTAATTTCAAGACTCATTTCTTAAAAAAATAAATAAATAGAAGCATCGAAATGCACCGAGTCACACGTGTGTGTCCACACCCCCACACACGGAGAGACACCCACACGTTTAGGAGAAAATACATGACTCCCCATCCTCTGTGCCGCCTCGCAGTGCCTTGCTATTGATTATATTTGAGGGCTCCAGTCCTGAAATGTGCGGCCCCTCTGTACCCCGTGCATCGATCAGCCACGCGGCTCCCTGCCTATTCACCAGCCAGAGGATCGTTCCGGATGATTCTAGTTTTAGTAATAATCAATGATCTATCCCGGGAATTGTTTCAGGCGCAAATCTGATGCAATGAAAGGCATTAGTCTAATGGGGTTTGTCGTGCAGAAGCTGTTGATATTATGTTGTCATTCATCTCATTTAAAGTCCGCGGAAACGCATTCATAAGATTGTTTCTTTATTTTTTTTTCTTTTCTCCCCTTTTCTGGCCGTTTTAAAGAAAAATCGCTTTCTTTGGCTGTTTGCTTTAGGGCTTTTCATCCGCGTGTTTCAGATAAGAAAAGAAACCAGGTTCTTTTATTTTTCGATTGGATCCGAATTCCTATTTGGGAGCCTTTTGATGTCCCCATTTAGTGCCTTTGACTTCTCCCGTGAATGGCAGCCTTTTGTTTCCGTCCCACATGCCCTTTAAGAAATCCCCCCTTAACCGCCTGGTACCCGCTGATGGATCCGTTTTCAAATGGACCAGAAGGAAAAGGCAACGTGAGAGAGGCCCGTTTCCTTAGTAATTGCTCTCGTTTGGGTGAAAATGCAGAGATTTTGTCTCATGTGGGAGGATATGGAGCAACAGCACCAGCGGGGGTTTCAAACAAAGATTGTCAGCTGCCATCCCTCCGCGAGGGGCTCGGGGCTGGCGCTGGGGCTGGGGCGCCGCTGGCTGCCTGCAGCCTCCCCGCGCCGGCCCGGCTGCTGGAGATGCGCGTTCACTGCCCTCTTGCTGGCGCAGAAGAGAAGGGTCCCCGCGCATCCCCCGGGCTGAGCGCTGCCGCAGGGGCTGGGGCAAGTTATTCTCAGCGGGATTTTGGTCATGAAATAATAATAATAAAAAAACCCCCAAACCCTTCCCCGTCAGCCGCCGGGGGCAGCGAGCCTGGGAAGATCGCCCCCGCTCGGGCTCTCATCCAGAGCACGACTAGCCACGGGGATGCCCCACTTCTTTTTCAAGGCGATGGAACCGCACGACCCAAGGGGCTAAAAGCGCTTTAAAACTCACAGGTGTTTGGGACCTGGCTTCACTGCCCCCCTCCCCCAAACAAGGGGCAGTGTGCTCTGCTCGGGCTCGGATGCCTGCTGAGTCCGCGAGTTCACTTCGGCGGAGTGGGGGGAAAGGCGCCTTTCCCACCGGAGATGCTCTGCCCAGCACATGCACAAAGCCTGTTGATCGCCATTAAGAGAGGGCTGCACTGCAGCTGAATGCTCCTTGCGGTCCCTACAAACTGTCCCCTCGTCTGAATCGCACTCGGGACAATTCAGTGTCAAGAGAAATAGCACACAGGGAAGAAAAAAAAAGGCAGGGTGGGTCATTTCCAGCGATTCTCTCCCCTTCAGCCTGGTTGGCATCGCCTTTCTGGGTGCCCGGGGAGCTTGCCCAGGCGACCCCCCAGCAGGTAGCTTAATCTCAGTCTCCTTGCTCTACTTCTTTTTTGGCAGGACTAAAAGTATCGCTTTTTCCTGGGGGAGGGGGGCTCTTCAGGGCAGACACCGCTTCCCCAAAGAGCCAGGGCTCACGGGGGTTCTCCGAGGGATCTAGTCTCCAAGGGAAAACCTTGCACTGTAGAGCGAAAAAAAATCCAGCAAAGAGCCACTAGAATACAAATGCTGGAGGAAAAAAATCTGCGGATATTTGGAAACAAATCGGTATCCAGACATAACATTTCTATTCTGCATATACAATGGCAATAAGAGCAGAGGGAAAGGTGCCTACTTACGTTCAAGGCGAGTGCAATCCCTGCCGCACTGACCTGCCTCCTGCGCTGTAGATTATTTTATACATTTCTCCCCGATACTTATAAACAAGTGGAAATTTTGCATCCAACTGCACCATTTTATACATGATGAGCCATCAGTAATAGGATTATTAAACAAAAACCGTCTGAGGCGCTGGCGTTAACCTTTTTTAAAATGGCTAATTAGGTTTTGCACAGAAAAATTAGATTTAACATTGCTTACATTGCCCACATTTTCGGTTGATGCTACAATAATTTGGGGGGTAGGACGGGTAAAACAATTCGTAGAGATAATAAAAAATTAACTATTTTAACATACATTACAGGTTCCCTATACTAGGAGAAGGCAAAGAATATTTTCATGATCAAATATTATATACATAAAACTAATTATCTTTCGCTGCTGCCTCCATCAATTACGGAGGAGAAGAGGTGCCGGGTACCCTCTTGCGGCTGGATGTAGAAATGCATTTCCCAGATCTAAAATGAGAAATGGCTTTTTTTTTCCCTTTTAAAATGCACTAGTTGGGGGACAATACAGGTCTTTTAATGACTTTGTAGAGAGATTCATATTCGCAGGTAACACAGCAGTGGGCGGGAGGATGCTGGTTCTTAGGGGACAGGATCTGGACAGCTCTCCAGAAGAAGAATGACAAAAGGGGTCGGCAGAAGGTATCGCAGTAAACGCACTACACAAAGAGTCCTTCACGATTTCTGACAGAGGACTTTCACGTCAGGAATCCGAAATCGCCAGAGCTCCCCGAGGTGCCCAGACAGACAGACAGACAGTTGCATGGGCAGCCCTGGAGTGGGTGCAATGGGTTGTGTTCCAGGGGAACCAGCCCCTTGGCCGCGGCGTGGCCAGGATCGGGCTGCTGTAGCTGATCCTCAGCATAAAGCCTATGCTATGATTTGTAAGGAGTTGTTCCTGGACACAGCTCTTTGATTTCTGATCTGTTTGCAACGGCGACAGGAGAAATATTTCCAGTCGGCGGCTCCCCTTTCCCGGGACAACACACAGCCAGGAGGGATCTTAGGTGTGCAAGGGGATTAGGACAGAATGTGGAAAGGGGCGGGGGGGGGGCAGAGAAAGGTGGCAGTGAGGTAGTTGTGCAGGGCCGCGGAGTGTGCGTGTGGAGGGGCAGCACTGTTTCGGATGTCTCATGATTTGTGCACACGGAATATGTAGGAAACAAGTGGTCACGCAGCCACCACCTCTAAGGATTGCCCCAGAGGAAGCTCAGCGATCAAAGGGAGAGCAGGATGCTGCCAGCCCAAGCCTGCGCCGAGCCATCTCTCCCTAAACCCCCTTGACATGAGCTCAGCTCTGCCTCCTCCAGCTGCCTTGCACTCTTCCGGGCTGGGCTGAGGCACGGCAGAGTTTCCCGAGGGTTTCTCCTTTTAGTGAATCTGCAACAGGTTAGAAGAGCTGTGCAGATGCATGTTTGTTTGGATTTAAATTAACAGGCACTGGCCGATCCTATCTTTGCTCAGTCAATTACTGTTGATTTCAAAGGGAGTTCAGTCCTATCATAGGACGGAAGAAGGCTCAAACTCGCTTCGCTTTTGATGTTTGCTGTCCGGCTTTATAGACTTTCTTTAGCAAAGAAGGAAAAATGCTTAGAATCTGTGGAGTATAGGTGCACTGGACTGAAACAATACCCTGTGATTGATCTATCTGTAATTGTTAAATAACGAAATCACATCAAGTAGGAAGACATTTGCAGAAGGTAGGGCTGTCATGAGATAATCATACCCCTGGGGGGGATTTGGCTGTGTCTGGTGTAATCTCGCCCTGAGGCTGCGATTAGCTCATGGTATCCATACCCACATGTCATGCTTTATTTCTTAACTAATAAATCATTGCAAACGGTGCAGCAGATGCTTGGGGCACTAAGTCCCCCTCCCCTAAAAAAATGAGAGAGAAAGAGAGAGAGATTGCGCATAAACTGAAATCAGGGACACAGGGAAAGTAAAGGAACCACAAGCGATTTCACTTTTACACTGGCATCTGAGTTTGTCAGGTTAGGAAAAGTCTGGGTTTATGTGGCCAGTACCTTAACTAGCATTGTCTATGTTCTGTGCTTATCTCTGGATGTCTGCTTATGTGCAGAGGGATGCTCACGTGTATTTAAATGTTCCGTATAGGATTAATGTCCTTCCTATTCTATTTGTATCCCTGAGCCCTGCTTTCTTTTCTCTCTGTTTCATCTCCTTTAGCAAAGGATTCATTAGTTTTAGCGTCACCTACTCTTAACTGACAGCTTCTTTTGTTCTCTTCTTAAAACTTTTGTCCTTCCCGCCTTTTTGTGGAATTGCCTGATGATTCTACCACTGTCTTTAGGTCACCATAGAACAGCCCCATCAGGATATTCACATCTAGGACAGACACATCAGAAAATGGAGCTCCAGACAGAGAAGCAGGGAGAAACTGAGAGTTCATTTATCCTCTGTCAATGAAGAATTAGTGCCTGAGAACAATGATGGGCTGTCAAGGAAATTCAATCATCTCCCTCTTTAGGTTTTTAGGCATCTATCTTTGTTGCACTAGTGGTGGTAGGCATTCATATTTGTACTTCTGGAAGTTAAAAGTCATGGAAGTGTCCATATCTGAGCCTGCAGTGAAGCCTTGTCAGTGATTCCTAATGATGGGCAAATTATTTACAGTTAAGAGTTTATTAGATTGTAGCCGGCACTCTGTGAACTGTCCAGGAATGTTGCTATATATTTTTTATTAATATGTTCTTTATCTGAAATAAATTGAGGAATGGTTTGTGCAAGCAGCATGTACCACCATGGGATTTGCTCATGAACCACTGGCTGAAATGAATGCTTCTGGCATTTTCTACTAGTAGCTGTCTGTTCCCTCTGTGGTATAACACCTTAACCACTGAGTAATGTTTTTGGTCTTACTTGGAGAAGACCAGGCCCAGAACTTTCCAAATAGAGAAAACCGTATAGGCAACCAGTTCTGACAAAAGGACTCCTGCAGGCACAATACTCCCAACACTTTTTATTTCTTTGAACATTTTTGTTGCCGTTTGGAAAAAAAATGATTAATTTGATGGCAGAAACCATTTTTTTTTACTAAATAACAGCCACTTTTTTTTACTAAATACATCTACCTCTAGCCTCTGCTCTCTTTTAGCTCTATCATCAGCTATCTTCTGCCAGCTGTTTAATTTAAACAAGCTTTTTTTATCCACCCTCTCCCTTATGAAGAAAATGTGAACCAGGCTAGCTGCAAACAGTGGAGAGAGAAGAGAAAAAATAAACCGTTTCTATTTCAATAAAAGGTAAGGTAACTTAAGTTATGCTATAGATGTAGGGGATTCATTGTTTAAAAGCTTGTAATTTTTTCCCCCATCCACAGTGCTGAGCTCTGAGTTTGGAGGATCTTCAGAGAGAAAAGAAAGTGAGTCATAATGGAGAATAAAATGAGGATACTTGCAGCAGGAAATGAAGAAATGTGAGGCAGCAGCATCTAAAAAGCAAATCAGATAATTGGGGACATTATGAAAGGACTAAGGACAAGATAAAAACATGGTAAGTATATGAAGACTAACATTACAGGAAACAATAACCTGAAATATTATTCCCAATTTGGTAACCTAATATTAGGGTCAAATTCTGAAGGTTTTTGCATAAGCAAAGTGATTATAATCTTCTATTTTTAAAAAGCTATACTGTGGTATAGATTTAAAGACTCAGAAAAGGACTGCAAGTATAGACAATGGCACGGTGAAGCTGAACAAAAAAATAAAGAGATAAAAGGGACTTGACTGGAGTCTTCCATGTTAGGAGTGGTGAAAACACATCAGTCCTTTTTTAATTTTATTCTGTAATATAAGATCCAGGGTTAACTGATTAAATTAAAAGACATGCAATACAGAACCAATACAAAGCAATATTAATATACCTTGGAGGGACAATACTTTCTACTGTCTTCTACACTCTGTAATTTAGGTTATGTTTATGTGGCAAAGTGGTGCTACACAGAGACACCTGGGATGGAGCTAAACAAGGTAGCTTTGATACCTTAGTTACCATAACTGTGCTCTCCTGAGTAATCTAACACAGCTTGACTGCTTCTAGTACCCAGGCTTGAGTCTAACAAGGGGTGCCTTGAGTCTAAAAATGGTTGAGAACCACTGTTCTACATCAACCCTTAGATTGTCCATGCTTAATCCCCAGCCTGTGGAGCCATCTGGCTCACGGGATTCTTCTGGGTCTCAAAATTTGGCAGCTGGAGAGAAATGTCAGCTAATTGCTGTTCCCCCGCTGTCAAATTCTGGATTTGGGAGGAACTCTGAGGGCTGGGTGGCATGGCCCTCTGCGCTAGATTGAGTGTATGGTGCTTATTGGGGGGATATAGGGGCCAGTCCAGCAAGTGGATTGACCCTGCACCACTTATCCAGCCCACAGGGCCAAATAAGTAAATAAATTATAAAATTGACTATCACTACCTAAGTTTTCACTAGTACCCTACATGCCTCAAGTTCTGTCTCTGTATACATACCCAAAACATCTTTCATCTTATCAGGATCAAGCAGGTTAATGTTTATCTCTTACTTAAATCTGATAGGATCCTGAGAGGCTGAGTCTGGTAGGCTTGCTCAGAGAGTATTCAGTTTGCGCCATAAGGAGGAAGCAGCATATAGAACACAGCCACTGTTTCAATCAGAAATACAGCTGGAGAAGCAGTGTATTCCTGTAATTAAACCCATTTAATTCCTGCATTCTTTTCTGTAAAGTGGCACATTTTCAACAGGAATTTCCCCACTTTCCAGAGTAGGTCATAACCAGATGTTTAGGATATACTCCAAGGAAGTGAGAAGTGGGTAAGAGTTGTCTCAGGCTGAGAGAGAATTTAAGCTAGGTCTTATTTAACTGGAACCACTAAGGTATTATGTAACAAGGAGGTTTGAAGAAGGTAGTGTTCCCTCCTCAGTGTTTGAAAGGAAAGATTTAGGCACCTGTAGCAGGGGCTTATAACCCCTGTTACTTAAAAGAGAGAAAGAGACAGCTAACTGAGAGCCAGCAGTGAGAAATATGCAGCCAAGTAATAGTGGCTACAGGAGAGCTTGGTGGGTTGCTGATATAACTGGTCAAATGAGTAACCTCTGTTATTGGGAGTAGGGCTAAACAGCAGGACTAAGTGACTGCAACACATTATGAAGAAGCTGGCTTGGCTCAAAGGCAGTGCAGAGTGTGCCTAGAAGCTGGCTACATACCTGTGAGCCTGCTTGTAGGGAGACAGGTTACAGAGAGGCAAGCCTGTAGATTGGTTAGCAGGAAGTTCTTGT